ATTTGTCAATTTTGGCTTTTGTTGCCGTTGCTTTTGGTGTTCTAGTCGTGAAGTCCTTGCCCATGCCTATATCCTGAGTGGTACTGCCTAAGTTTTCTTCTAGGGATTTTATGCTTTTAGGTCTAACATTTAAGTCTTTAATCCATCTTGAATTAATTTTTGTATAAGGTATAAGGAAGGGATCCTGTTTCAGCTTTCCACATATGGCTAGCCAGTTTTCCCAGCACCATTTATTAAATAGGGAATCCTTTCCCCATTTCTTGTTTTTGTCAAGTTTGTCAAAGATCAGATGGTTGTAGATGAGTGGCATTATTTCTGAGGGCTCTGTTCTGTTCCATTGGTCCATATCTGTTTTGGTACCTGTACCATGCTATTTTGGTTACTGTAGCCTTGTAGTATAGTTTGAAGTCAGGTAGTGTGATGCCTCCTGCTTTGTTCCTTTTGCTTAGGATTTTCTTGACAAGGTGGGCTCTTTTTTGGTTCCATATGATCTTTAAAGCAGTTTTTTTTTTTCCAATTCTGTGAAGAAAGTTATTGGTAGCTTGATAGGGATGGCATTGAATCTATAAATTACCTTGGGCAATATGGCCATTTTCACGATATTGATTCTTCCTATCCATGAGCATGGAATGTTCTTCCATTTGTTTATGTCCTCTTTTATTTCATTGAGCAGTGATTTGTAGTTCTCCTTGAAGAGGTCCTTCACATCCCTTGTAAGCTGGATTCCTAGGTATTTTATTCTCTTTGAAACAATTGTGAATGAGAGTTCACTCATGATTTGGCTGTTTGTCTGTTATTGGTGTATAAGAATGCTTGTGATTTTTGCACATTGATTTTGTATCCTGAGACTGCTGAAGTTGCTTATCAGCTTAAGAAGATTTTGGACTGAGATGATGGGGTTTTCTAAATATACAATCATGTCATCTGCAAAGAGGGACAATTTGACTTCCAAAAGAGGTATATATTTTTTAAAGGAGGAAATGGATAATATCACCTCTTAATGAAGGCCACTGCAGCCTTCCCTCAGGCTGTTGCATGGGCACATTACTATAACAGGAGCCATACCACAGAAAGCCTGGAATCTAACTAGGCAAGGATCATCTGAAGCCTAATTTAAGGTCAAATAGTTCCATAAAGGAAATTGTCCGACCTACTGCCAAGTCCTTGAGTAGGCATTTTCTTCTTGATTTCCATACTTGTTTTGGAGCTTAAACAATCTTAATCTAAAAATCAGTGTTTCATTAACTTATCAAATAAATCTTTACTGAGTACCTGATACATCCCTGGCATTGTTCTAGTCTCTGAGAATAAAACAAACAGGGTCCCTGCCCTCTTTGTGTTTATCATCTGATTGAGACTAATACAACAAAAAAGTAAGTAATTTTTTAAAATTAAGATAACTTCATAGTAACAGAACAGAAATGGACAAGGAAGTGCCTATTCTTGACAAAGTAGTCAGGGAAGGCCTCTTGGAGGTGGAGACATTTGAGCAGAGACCTAAAAACTATGCTTGAGCTAGAAAGCCACACGGCTGTGTCATGACCCCCAAATTGGTTTTGAGGCATATGTTCTTTGTGACACGAGTTGGAGCTGGCAGGAGACCTTTTGTTGTGTGTCTTCTGATGTATTTAATGTGGGCTTCGGCCATTCTGAGGATGAGATGCTGAAGCCCTGTTTCTATTTCTGACACAGAGCTGGGAGTTTGGGATCCCACTGTGCAGGGAGCTGGCGTGTCAGTACGAGAGCCTCTATGATTACCAGAGCCTCAGCTGGATTCGGGTGAGCTGTGCCCCTCCTCCCACCCCAGCCCTGACTGGCATCAGTTTCTAAATGAGCATTCTCTATGGGCCTAGCCCTTGGTTTAGTGCTGTGGACAATACAAGAGAAACAAAAGCCAAGACTCCTGCCCTCAGGACACTTGCAGTCTGACTAGGAAACCAAAAATAACACCTGAAAAATAATTGTATGATCTGGACCCCAAGAGCCATGGTGCTCAGAGAAGGGAGAAGTGGCATAGGCAGGATAGGATGGTGGTTTCAAGAAGGAGAAGGAGGTGGCAGCTCAGCTTCACAGAGAAGCTTTTCCTGGAATGGTTTTGTTTATGGATGCTTCATCCAAAATCTTTATAAGAGCTTTCCCCACTTTGCTTATGGTCAATTTTAAACATGTTGTACTTGCTGCCTTCTTTGATGCAGAATATTAAAAAATTAAATCAAATGCCCGATGGGCTTTGAAGGTCTGCACCAAATTTTTTCTGGTTGCTGGTGCTGGGTTCTCAATCATAATGGCTGCTGATTTCATCAGCGAAAAAGAGGCTAGCAGTCTCAACTCACCCTTTCTGCACCCTCATCCTTGTGGCTAACTCTCCTGTTCTCTGATCCAGATTGGTGTTTGGGCGTGTTCCTCTAGCAGTGGCTTCTTAACCCGTTCTGGCAGGCTGGCTTGATTGAATGCATTGGAGCTATCTTCCCAATCGAAGTTTCAGTGAGTTTTGTCTGAGTGTGAAGCCAGGTCAGCCACAACTAAAAAAGTTACAGACCTTGGAATGCTAGACATCATGGATATTAGTTAGCTTTTCAAATTTAAAATATCTTAACTTGGAATGAGTACCAGTGCTGTTAGCATCTGAGCCTTCCTCACTACAGTTGTTAGCATCTTTAGTCAGATGATAGATGAACAAGAGTTGGGACTGATACAAAATGGTGGTGAGAATTGCTGATAGCCAGCTACAAGCAACCTAGTCAGGGGTCAACTGGTATAGTGAGTATTGGTCAAAACCAGAAATCCCTGGGCAGAAAAAGTCCATGTTAAAAGTGTGCCTCCCAAGTACAGGAATCTATAGGGCTGAGTCCACTCCCTAGGAAGGACATTCACAGCAGCTACACAGGGCTGCAGTGGGCAGGCCTGTCCCCATCCCACCATCAGACAGTGGTGATGGAGGGCCTTCTCTTCCATAATGCAACTCCCTAGAGAGAGGCTGGTCATGTCTAGAGGCTCACTTACTTCTTATCTAGATTGAGTTGCTATGATCCCTTTCCGGAAGACAGTGTCCAGTTGGGCCTAGGAGAACTTGCTTTGGATACCAACAGCAGTCAAGCCAACCTGAAGACCTTTCTCATTCACAGAAAATGGAGGCCAGCTACTATGACAACATTATGGAGCAGCAACGCCTGGAGCCTGAGTTCTTTCGGGTCGGCTTCTATGGCAGGAAGTTTCCTTTCTTTCTTCGGGTGAGTCCATTCAGATGGTCACAAGAACTTACATAATTTTACACATAATTCACTTAAAACCTGTATTCTTTTCTTCCCCTTTTTGCCTTTTCTGCTGAATACTTTTTTACAGAGGATAGACCAGTTAACAACAGGCATTTGGTTTTATTTGACTGGACTGGCGGCCAACTTCAGACTCTGTTTTAGTCTGCTCTGTTGTTCTGTAGCTACCAGGAATGTGTGAGGGTGGCTTTCTTACCAAATCAATAGAGTTTCTTCAGGAAGTGACCAGGGTCTAAGTATGTCCCATGGGTACCTTCCAACTTCTGCCTCCAGTGCCTGGAACCTCCATTGTGAGTCTTCTCAGCCATACAGGGTGCCAGTAAAGCCCTGACCTTAACAGTAGACTGACCTCTTAGGGTTTGTCATCTGAAATGATGGTTTTTCCTCCTGGCTGCACTGTAGCCAGCATGTGGTTCCTGGGATCCTGAGGGAGCTGCCAGGCACTGCGTTTGGCTGTAGAAAGCCTCTTCTAGGCAGCCAGTTCTCTGACCCAGGATGACAACAGCCTTTTCTCCCTACCATTCCCTGGCAGGCTGAACCGGAATATAAAAAGAGTGGAAAGGATGACTGAGCATAGATCTACTGACACCAGTTGTGATTTTCTTATTTATTCAGCACAACTCAGAGGCTCCAGGAGTAGTCAACATACACTACAGGCTGAGTCCCATAGAGATGTGTTCTCAGATGATCTAAATGAAGCTGCCCTGATGTGTGGGCCCTGGAGCAGTTGAGACCTAATCTTTGATCACCCCCAGTTCCAATATCTTTAAAGTTCACTGTCCACAAGTCTCAGAAAGTAGCTGGGAAAATTCCCTTTGATACGTTTGGGATCCTGTCTTCTTGGAGAAATTGGGTTAGCCAATGAGCAATAACAAACTTGTTATCATATCAAAGGTCAACCGGGCTTAATAGCTCCTTAAAAAAAGCTAGTCTGCTAGCGGCAGAGTCCAGGCTAACCACATTGCAGAAGTAAGGCAGGTCAACTTGCACTTTTCTTGGGCAGTAGTCATTCTAGGCTAGAAGGAAAAATGATCTGTGTGGGCACTGGTAATATGACAGGAACAGCAAGCTCACTGCCTAATTTACCTAGTTGTGATCCCCGGGAAGGCTGTAACTGTTCCACAGGAGTGTGTTTCTAGTAGCAGAATGGGAATGAGTAGAGAGAATTTCTTTTTTTTTTTTTTTTTTTTTGAGACAGAGTTTCGCTCTTGTTGCCCAGGTTGGAGTACAATGGCACGATCTCAGCTCACCACAACCTCCACCTCCCAGGTTCAAGCGATTCTCCTGCTTCAGCCTTCCCAAGTAGCTGGGATTACAGGCATGCGCCACCACGCCCAGCTAATTTTGTATTTTAATAGAGACGGGGTTTCTCCATGTTGGTCTGGCTGGTCTTGAACTCCCAACCTCAAGTGATCCGCCTGCCTCGGCCTCCCAAAGTGCTGGGATTATAAGCATGAGCCACCGCACCTGGCCGGAAATGAGAAGAGAGACTTTCTTAAGAGGACTAGGCCTCCTTCATCTCTAGTGACCATCCAGCCCAGGCATTTCAGAAGTGGCATATTTACTAGCCCCATCAACATAGATCATATAAGAACAATGGAAGTGGTGGAGGTCAGCAAAAGAAGTAGAAGCAGCTGTACAAGAATTAGAAACCAAAAGTGTTTCCAGAAAGTCCTTTGACAAACTAATGATTCTGGTCTTGTAACTTGCCTTTTTCTCATTTTATCTTTGCAAATTATGCTTTCTTGTCATTTTCTTCTTCTTGTGTAGATCCACAATTTGTACATCAAAATTGAGATTTCACTGTAAAACATCATTATTTTGGATATTACAGAATCAGGCCCTGGTGTCCCCTGTTTCTATTCTGCCAAGCAGGAATGCTCCATCATGGTCCAACCTGTTTCCCACCCTTTCATGCGCATGTCACAGGGCACATTAGTGTCTCAGGGTGCTTGGAGCTTTCTGACGGGTAGGACCTGGCATAAAACCTGCATCTAAGCCATCCAAACCATGCTCACAAGTAACAGTCCAAATGTTCAAATGTGGTTTCAAAGACCCTGGTAATGGAGGAAGAATAACAAGGGGTGTTAGGAAATATCACCCATCAATACATTCCCATCTCCACACAAGATGCAATCTCAAGGGGAGGTATAATGCATGTATAATTCATGCATACAAATTTCCTCGGCCAACCCACATGCTACCTTCCCTTATTTCAGCTACTCAGTTCATCTGTGGCAAACATAATAAGTCCCAGTGGAGGTAGCTCTTTACCTTGCAGATGGTGAGAACCAGGTACAAAGGAGTTGCGGCCAGATCTGTCTTTTGTGGGAATGCTGGGGCTCTTGCCCAGGCGAACATGAAACCAACAGTCAGCCTCAAGGTCAACACTGTACATTCTTCCTGCTGGGCCTTCCCCAGAAGGCTAGGCTACTCTCCTACCATCCCTGAATGCACAGGCCATCTATTACTTTAGCTCTGTCAGCTTGGTTTCTGTGGACCATCTGCCTGCTTCCTGTCACAAATGTGATTATTTACTAATCTGCAAAGAGTCAGGAAAACATCCAACCCTCCCTTCTTGAGGGAATTTTTATTTCTCATCATTTGACCCATGAACAGACATTGTCGAGGGTTGTACATATGAATGATATGAAAAGGCCAGTTCTTCACAAGTACTTTCTTTGTCAGTTTTGTTTATCAAGCCAAAGATGTAGAAATGCCTCTGTCCTTTGACTACTGGTCTGTTCCACTGGAGAGGCCAGCCTGTTCCTCCTGACCTTAACTTCCCTTCTAGTGTGCCCTTCCATTCTGATTCATCCAGACACATGGCCCAGGCCAGATGCAGTGGCTCATGCCTATAGTCCTAGTACTTTGGAAGGCTAAGGCAGGTGGATCACCTGAGGTCAGGAGCTCAAGACCAGCCTGGCGAACATGGCGAAACCCCATCTCTACTAAAAATACAACAATTAGCCAGGCATGGTACAAGATGCCTGTAATCCCAGTTACTTCAGAGGCTGAGGTGGGAGAATGACTTGAGCCCGGGAGGTGGAGATTGCAGTGAGCCCAGATTGCAACACTGCACTCCAACCTGGGCAAGAGAGTGAGACTCTATCTCAAAAAAAACAAAAGACAATACAGATACATGGCCCAGCGTTAGCCAAGTTCTCCCATAGTGAGAGAGGAAGTAAAAGGGAGACAGAAATCCTATTTCAAGAAGGTCAGGATGTTCCAAGGTCTGCCCTGTGATTAACCCTCTCCCGGGAAGCATATGGCTGGCCCTGTGATGGCTCTCTCTCTCTTTCTTCCTTTGAAGACATGCCAAGAGGGGCTGGCAGTGCCTGATACCATTTTGTTGAAATGGGTCTGGTTAGGCAGTTGGTTGGGCGGACTGTGTCACCAGTGGGTTTCAGGGGAACTTGCTCCAGCCACCCACTCATGACCAGCTATGATATAGGCAAAGCAAGCAGAGTTGGGGGTGCCTTGTCCACGAAGAGAAAAACTGAGACATAACCCAAACTAAATGTGACATAACGTAAAATTTTAAGAAATCTGTACTTAGAATGATGTCTATTTGTTCTGCTGACATGTTTGCAAAGGAGTTTGCTGCCAAAGGGTTATTAATGCAATGAACAGCTACTGAATGCCTCCTGGGCACTGGGCAACATTAGACTGTTTGTCCCAACTAATAAAAGTGATCCTTCAGAATCACACACTTGATCACCGCCCCCCCCCCATTTAAATTTATTTGATGGCACCCATAGCAATCACTCCTTGGTAACACTGGAGTCAGGGTCAGGGTCTTCCAAGGCCTGCTCAGTGATTAACCCTGTCCCAGGAAGCATATGGCTGGCCCTGTGATGGCTCTCTTTCTCTTTCCTCCTTTGAAGACATGCCAAGAGGGGCTGGCAGTGCCCCTCTGCCCATCTGCTTTTACCAGTTCTTTACACAGACACCTTCTTTCCAGCTCCACCTTTTCCTGTCTTGATTGTTGTTGCCCTGGTTGTCACGGTATCCACATAGATTGCCCTTCTCCACTCATACCATACCATACCAGCCTGACCTAGGTGGACCTTTCAGGACATTTTTTAAACATAATTTTTTTTTAAATCACATCTCCCACCTTGCTCTCTTTTCTGTGTAAGGTTTTTCTCCTTCTTCCAAGCTTCTTGCAGCCTGTACCCTTCCCTCGGGGCTGCCACACCACAGTGTAATTCTCGCTTTGTTTTTCTTCTCCCTCCTTGATTGGAGACTGAGGGCAATGCCCTGCGCCTGTCCCAGGGCCTGATACAGAGAAGGCTCCTAAGATATGTTTGTGATGTATGTAGCTACTGACTCTAGTATGGAGGTTGGGGGCTACAAATAAGGTATACATAGAGTGTGCTCTTATGTTTGTGGCAGAACAAAGAATACGTATGCCGTGGCCATGACTACGAGAGGCTGGAGGCCTTCCAGCAGAGGATGCTCAGTGAGTTCCCGCAGGCTGTCGCCATGCAGCACCCCAACCATCCTGATGATGCCATCCTACAGTGCGATGCCCAGTGTATCTTTTGATACTGGGTGGGAGGACGGCAGGGGCCCTGGGAGGTGAGGTCCACCCAGTCAGCTGCCCTCTACCACACTGCCAACCATATAGGTTAGATATCCCATAGCCCTAAACCTGAGTGTGTCCTCATTGCTTAGCACACACTTAGAAACGCACTAATGCCTCAAAGAGGAAGCATTGGCGTGCCCTTAGCAGTGGGTGGTCTAGTCATCAGTGGGACTTCAGAAAGGTCTTTATCCCTCAGACTGGCTGCTTCCAACAGCTTAATCCTCACCCTGCCCTATGAGGAGTCTGCCCAGGCAGCCAGGAGCAATCACTGTACAGGGTGACTTGGGGTCCTATCAGGGCTCTTGTCACAGGAATACCACCTGTGCTGTGACCTGCGCCACTCCCATGTGTACTATTATTGTCCCTTGTCTTCGTCAGGCGGACTGGGGCAGGGCCCAAGGATGTGCGGAGCGGGAGAGGATGGGGGAGTTCCTTTGGTTTGGTGGCACTTGGAAGTCTGAATGGAAACACTGCCCTCCCCCTCACCTTTCACACACAGCTTCCTTGGGGACCACATGACAGATGCCATGACTATGGCAAGCTTGTTTCAGAGAAGGGAGGGCAAGTGGACTCTTACCTGCTTTTTTTCCACAAAGATTTCAAACAGTATTTTATTTAAAAGTTGTTCTTCAGTAAATATACTTTACCTATAGAGGGGAAGCCCAGACCCTTGTAGCCTTCTCTCACTCCCATGGGGTGGATGCCTGCATTCCCCTCTTTCCCTTTGTTTCTTAAAGGGGCACCGGAGAACACTTGGCTGTTGACATCTCACCTTGGTTGAGTGCTCATGAAACTCAACTACTAGAGCAGGGAGAGGGAGGGAGCAGATAGAGATTTACCTAACTGTACTTGGGTCTAATCTGCCCCTGGAGATGCCACTGCCTCCACCACTGGGCTGTCAGTAAGGAGCAGGGGCTATGGTGCACTTCTCCCCTTTGAGGAGATAACAGGGGTCAACCTCTCAGGTCCATCTCTGGCAAGTCTGCATTTCTCCTTCACTTCCTGCCCAGACTTGCAGATCTATGCAGTGACACCCATTCCAGATTATGTGGATGTTCTGCAGATGGATAGGGTACCAGATCGCGTCAAGAGCTTCTATCGTGTCAACAATGTGAGGAAGTTCCGGTACGACAGGCCTTTTCACAAAGGCCCCAAGGACAAGGAGAATGAATTCAAGGTGAACAAATCTAGGAAAACAGGGGCAGTACACACAGCAAGTCCAGGGGCAAGCTCAACTTTCTTGGGAACTCACTGTTTTATCCCTCAGGTAGGCAGGGTGTGGCAAAACTTGCCTAACTGCCCACACCTGCCTGTTCCCTCCCTACAGAGCCTATGGATTGAACGTACCACACTGACCCTGACCCACAGCTTGCCTGGCATCTCTCGGTGGTTTGAAGTGGAGAGAAGGGAACTGGTGAGACATGTCTCAGATGAAGCTGAGCTTCACAACTGCTCCCTCGGCCCCAGCTCTGGGGGCCCTTCTCTAAGGACTGAAGATAAAGAGAGCTTCGGCCACCTGCCTGGCCTAGGCTCCCACAGGTCAACCCGGTGCTAGGATCTTTGTGTATCTTCTCTCATCTAATCCATACAACACCCCTGAGCAGCAGGTATTTTCAACCTCCCACTTTACATATGAGAAAACTATTCTCCGAGATTCAAGAAAGCAAAGTGTTCTGATTTCAGAACTAGTGTTCTTCACTATTTGCTGTACTTCCAAGTGCCTATAAATCAGAAAACAGAAGTGGAAAGGGTCCAGGGAGTCTCAAGTTCACAGGAACAAGGAAGGGGAATCAATACCACAGATCTTAGACCCCAGGTCTCAGGAATATGATGAGGGGTTATCATCATTTCTGGGATGACTCTGTGTGCTGTGTACCCCTAGGTGGAGGTGAGCCCTCTGGAGAATGCCATCCAAGTGGTTGAGAATAAGAACCAGGAGCTACGCTCCCTGATCAGCCAGTATCAACACAAGCAGGTGCATGGCAACATCAACCTGCTAAGCATGTGCCTGAATGGTGTCATTGATGCAGCTGTCAATGGAGGCATTGCACGCTATCAGGAGGTGAGCTGTGGCCACAGACCAAACCCATGCAGGCAGCCTGGCTGGGAAGGTGACTCACAGGCTTCTCTTTTCAAGATTGTAGTCTCCTTAGGTAGCCTTCCCTACATGCCCTCTCTTGGCTAAACTAACTTGGGATGGTCCTGGAATGAGGCCCTAAGCTCCCTATCACTCCCTATTTCTTTGGCACAGTTCTCTGGTAGGGCCTTTTCTTCATTTTTATTCTCTGAACTCTGAGATGGGTAATCTGTAATCCTGATTATGGGAAGATGTTAGGTGCCCTCCAAGAGGAGCCTTGGAGCCCAGCCCATCATGAGAAGTGAGTCGTAGGCTGGATAAGAGGCTAGCCCCTACTCCCAGTCCACCAGTCCTGCCTGCCCTACCTAGGCCATCCAGGCTCCATAAGGGACTGGGGTCAGCATCCAGACTTAGATGGCTTGGCCACGTTCAATCCTTCTCAGACAAAAAACACACCTCGCCAGGCGCAGTGGCTCACGCCTGTAATCCCAAAACTTTGGGAGGCCGAGGTGGGCGGATCACGAGGTCAGGAGATTGAGACCATCCTGGCTAAGACGGTGAAACCCCATCTCTACTAAAAATACAAGAAAAAATTAGCCGGGCATGGTGGTGGGCACCTGTAATCCCAGCTACTCGGGAGGCTGAGGCAGGAGAATGGCGTGAACCCAAGAGGCAGAGCTTGCAGTGAGCCGAGATCACACCACTGCACTCCAGCCTGGGCGACAGAGCAAGACTCCGTCTCAAAAAATATATAATAAAATAAAATAAAACACACACACCTCTAGTTGCCAGAAGTTCAAACAGGCCAGACTGGTGTATGTACCTATGAGGAGACAGCCTGGCTACGTTTTAGGTGGCATTAGTGAACTCAAATCTCCTGGGCCCCATATAAGTAGTAGTCCTGGGAAGAGTCTTCCTGACTTGGCCTTTCCTTTCACAGGCCTTCTTTGATAAAGATTACATCAACAAGCACCCAGGAGATGCTGAGAAGATCACCCAGCTCAAGGAGCTTATGCAGGAGCAGGTATGTCTTGGAGAGCTTGGGGACCAGCAGCCAGGTGAGAAAAGCCATGCACTACAAGATGGCTTCAGTTCTCAGGGGCTGCTCATGGTTCACAGAGTGGCCTTGTTTGTGACTCTGATAGGTTCATGTCCTTGGAGTTGGGCTAGCAGTTCATGAGAAGTTTGTGCACCCAGAAATGCGACCTCTGCATAAGAAGCTAATTGATCAGTTCCAGATGATGCGGGCCAGTCTCTACCATGTAAGTTAATCCCTGTCCTGCCCCTGCTGCAGTAGAACCAGGTGTCACTTTCTCCAGACCTATATACCACAAGCCAAAGGAAAATAGGAGGGAGAGAGCCTGGGTGGGGGCCGGGTCAGGGAGAGAGGCTGTCCTCCCCACAGAGGGACAGGGGGCAAGGATGGATGCTATATCCAGGGGAAGGATGCTAAGGATCCTCTCACTCACTCACTCACTCCCAAAGGAGGAGCCAGATTCAAGGGCAGAGAACATGTTTCAGAGCACAGGTTTTCATATGTGGAGGAAAAGAGCCAAAGTATATGGCCCACATGTAGGGATCTTTTTGGAGATGTTTTTCATCTCAAGAACCTAAAGAGGTAGGCATGGCCTGAGCCAGCCTTCTCTCCCCATCTCCCTCCTCCTCCTCTTCTCTTTCTCTGCCCTTCTTCATTCTTCTCCCTCTAATCGTTCTCTTTTCCCTCTTTTTACTCTTCCCCCAACTCCCTTTTCTCCCTCTTTCCCTCCCTCCCTCTTCTTCCCAGCTTCCTGTATCATGTCTGGTGATCCAAACTCACATCTGAGATAGTCTAGGATGAGCAGTACTTTGATGCTAGCGGTTCTTAAAGGGGTCAGCCAGGTCCTGGGGCTGGACCAGGCTCCTGAAAGTCTCCCTAACTCTGGCCCAGCTCTTCAGCCTCCACAGTAGCATTTGGCCCAAGGACTTAAACACACAAACAGGACTTATATTCCAGGACCAGTATTCCTTGGCAGGGTCTTAGAGGAAGTGCTGACTGGCTGAGGATAGAGCCCCCTAGTCACATACCCAAACCTCATTTTCAACTGTGGGGCCGACTCCAAATGTTTTCTAGAGATCCCTTCCTGCTAAACAGGCTGTCTCCCAGATCTTAAGGGGTATGAGCCCAATTACCTGCTGCTACCTGGCACCCAAGCCAAGTTCTCTTCTCATCACCCAGGACCACTGGGTAGTGGCAGGTCGACAAGAAGTAGAGCTGTTTGAGCTGCACGAGGTTGTCATGAGCAAAAAACATCCCCCTCTAGGGATACCCATGGCCACAGGAGCCCTGAGGGAGGCTGAACTACTTAAACACAGTGGGCCTGACCCATTTGGGGCGGACCTGCTTTGTTCGTGGATGCTGCAGGTTCTGGTCATCTCCGTCCCTCCAGGCTCCCAGTGCAGGTCTCAGCCTGTGTGGACAAGTGTGGATAACATGAAAAGAGAAAAAGAAGCTTGTTGTAGTTTGAGGGGTAGGGG